CGAGCCTGAGAGGGTACAACGGAAACATTCAACGACATAGAGACGAAAAGTGACAAATTCATCCACGAATGTGCCCCCATACCCACCATGGAGCCACAATTAGAGGCAGGACACCCAACAGGAAGCTATCGCTGATCATGCCGGGGCCCCCTAGGGGTGCGTCGTGAGTATACGCCCCACAAACGCCACCTTAAGAACCGTCAGTCCGTCGAGATCGGGTTCAGCGACGAAAGGGGGATTGACAATAAAAGGTTCCCCTCGCTCGAGACGTCGGGTACTACAGTTCTACGGGTGCAAGAGTATGCCTCCTCAAGCACCCGGGCGTCAAAATAGAAGAAGTCCAAAGAAAGAATCCAAAACAAGCAAAAGGTCGGCAGGAAACGACAAGCAGATAGGAGAAGAGGGGGGAGAAAAACGAAACATAAGGAAAAGGAAAAGCGATCCGGCACAATTGGAGAAGACAGCAGCAGGAGAGCAAGGCCAGAAAAGGACAGAGGACTGCCCAACGGAGCATCACACTCCGGCAGCCGTCCACCAAGCCCCCTCACGACGCCAACGGGCCGGAAGGGGAGGGGGGAATTAGTACATATGTGATATATTCCCATTTATATTTTTTCCAAGGCACAAACTCTTCCTCACGTACTAATTTACTTCTCACAGTACCCGTTCATCGCCATAGACAGCAGAATAGTCGTGATTGGTTCAATTTTAATGAAAATTGTAGTTTTCAGGTCCCACATGGGTTGTGAAATTTACCTACTATTGTCCATGCTCTTAAAATATTACAGATCAACTACATCCTATTGAAGGCTCGTAGTTTTGCTTTGAGAAATATTAGTTGTTCTTAGTAAATTATAATAAGCACTATAAATTATTACATAGAATAAGAGTGCTTCACCAATCAACATTATATACACAAGCCTATGCTTTAAAAATCTTTAAAGAATGTACTTTAGAAACGTCAAAAGAAAAAGATGTTACACTGGAATGTCTATGGGATAAACTACTGCAGACAGGATGGTATAGTGTCTTCAATACCTATTGTGGAGGGGGTCGTCACGTGGTGTAACAATGAGATGATATAATACCACGTATAGTGGTTCACCGTGGGCTGTAGTCGTCGGGGAAGGCAAGTGAAGCAAGTCTAGGCTTCTCAGGACGGATAGGGTAGAGGGAAACAAAGCCTCTTCAGTAATCCAAGGAGCACATATCCTAAGTGAGAGTGGTGCCGGGTGGGCTTCGTCCGCGTTAGGTCACGTGCAGTTCATCTCTGGTCCTTGTCCCTCTCTAGACCTTCGCGGGGCTGCTGCGCTGGAAGGCTGTGCGCGGTCGCCGTCCACCAATCAGGGCACAGTCCTGTCTACACTATGAAATGTCTCCTTTGGCGGGCACTTTGAATGTGGTTCCCTCTACACTCCTATAGAACAATGGGTATATTAGAGGGATTACGTTTCACTATACATAACATGTCCTTTTGGAAAAAGTCTTCACCAGCAAAGTTGCAAACATTTCTGGTTTCACAAATGGGTCCTATTACAATTATTACTCGTATTATCTCTGCACTATACACAAATTGTTTCAACACCGCATATACTACACTACTGTTTTCTGTTTTTGTCTTCTTAAGATTCACTCCTAGGAATTTACTCTGCCCTAACAATAGTCCTCGCACTGAAGCGCTGCTCCTTGAATATGGGTCCTTCTTTGACAGAGCAACCCTTTTCACACATCTCACCCCCAGGATCCCAAGGGAAAAGCAATTGGATTACGCCTTCTAAGGCGTAGGATTCTATGCCTTCTAAGAACTGACCAAATGCTAGTTCGTCTTTTATTTTCTTCTGAGTCCTCCTTTCCACATTGTGTCTTAACTGGCCCCACTTCCTGTGAGGACTTTGCTTCGTTTCCTGATCCAAACCTTTCTGTTCAGTAGTGGCACGGCCCCGAATTGCCACTTCTGTCTGTTTCACCCACGTTATTGTGACTCCTCGTCTGCATATATACATACATATATGTTACGGCCACAATGGGTCGCAACCGGGTTCTTTGCTAGAAGAACTAAAGTTCTGGTATCCAACCCCAGTTAGTAGTGGCTTTCAAGGAGTAAGCTTGGTAATGCAAGTAAAACACAAAGGGGGAGTTGGATTGAATACGACAATTCATCAATTATCAATATATTCACATATAATCACTTTCCCATCACCTCACATATAATCATAAAGGGAGTATTACTACACTGATATATACACCAATGTCGCTCTCATGGGACACTAAGTGCTCCTCGATGCTCAATCGATGCAGTCTTGTCAGCTTCCGTGTTTCCTCAACACAGTACTGTCCTCAACCAGTACTGGGAAACACCAACGAGTCTACCCTAGCCATGGGCCAGCCAACACACAGTCTCACTAGGTGCTCTTCGTGCACGCCCACAATCACTCTCCAGCCTGGAGCTGGCAGAGAACATCAGCCTCGCGCTGCTGGGCCTCTACACGAACAAATACAAGGGTAGCGAACCCTTGGCAGGAGCTTCTTGCAACTAGCTAGTTACTCTCCCCCGTAGCACCTTACTGTCAGTCTTCTCTTTCTCTAGCCAGTCCCGGGATACGCCGAATTCTGTCACTGCCACTTCACAGGCAGACAGTAGAACACTACACAGTTCTACTTCGGCGGCGGCTCACTGCTTCCGTAAAGCAGAATGGAGTAGTGAGATATAGGCTGCCCTGGGTAGACTGACTGTCCTCGTACCACAGCAGCCCTACGTCGCCTCTGTGGATACAGACACGTCATCAGTAAACTGGCCAGTACATGGGACACTAGGAAATACCACTTACGGACTTTGACACAAACATACAACTCCTCCTACAATAGATGGCGCTGATTTTCTAGGCGCCACCTCACCTAGGTCAGCACCAGCTATTTTTCGATCTGACTAGGACAGGAATCTAGCGCCTCTTGCTGGTATCTTCCTGCCACCATTAGATGGCGTCGTCCATATTGTGGGGGTTTCGGGAGCGGACTCACAGATGGCATTGACGTCGCTGCTCCGTGCTCCGACGATGGAATCGGGTTCGTAACAATATACATACATATATGCACACACACATACATACATACATACATACATACATACATACATACATACATACATACATACATACATACATACATACATACATACATACATACATACATACATACATACATACATACATACATACATACATACATACATACATACATACATACACATACATTTGTCTCTTTTACTCTGACAGGATGAGATTGCTGATAGAGAAACTAGTGTGCAATTAAGCACTTATCTACTGAAGGTGATTAAGATGCTTTAACAAGCTCATGTTATATAGTTACATCACATACATACGTTGTATAATTGATACATTACATGGTCAATCTTGGGTATAAGTCAAATATATATCATCAAGTGTTCCAGTATTCATACAGTAGTTACAGATTTCAGCACACCTCAGCCCAGGAGGGCGAAAGTCAGTCAGTATGGGACATTCTACAATATAATGTTCAAGAGAGTGCATAATTTCTCTTTCACAATGTTGACACATTGTGTACTCGACATTTGGATTTTGAGAAAGCTGCCAGATATCCCAGGCGTATTCTGGCCACTATAACATCACATTGACGAGTTCTTGCTCTATTAGTCCCATATGTGAATGTCTCCTCACGATATCTATCATAATATTTAATTAATGCTACAACTTTCAGGTCTTTGTGAATTTGTTAGGACGGTGAGATTTTCATTAGATATTTGATTAAGTATTTTCTTTGTCACTGCTAACGAAACATTCATATCAATTTCTACTGCTGGTTTTCTACAAGCTGTCTTTGCAAGCATATCAACAGTGGCATGCCTTGAGATGCCAACATGTGATGGTATCCATAGGAATTTAATTTCAAATCTGTTTTCTTTAGTAGCTAAAACATTCAATCGAATATCAATGACTATTTTCTTGGTGATACTACTATATGCGTTCAATGCCAGGAGTGCACTCTGCGAGTCACAGTATATAAGTCCACTGCCTTTGTCTTTTAAAAATTCAGTGCCATGGTCCCCTGCAAGTTCGGTCTGAGTTGTATTATGAGTGCGTGGATGGACACCCAAGATACGTCTACATTTCCTCCACTCACAATCAAGCTTACAATGTCAGAATTTTTAAGGACCCATAGTTCACAGTCGTACAAGCTTAAACATTGACTTCCAAATAACTACTTCTCGACCAGGTATCAAGATGTAAAAATTCACTAATGATGGCATTTGTTTTGATGTTGAAGTCTGATAAAATCAAAATAATTGACAACAAATTTTGAGAATACAATGTGTATCAGATGCTATAAATAATACATTACTGGAATCTCTCCACCTCATAATTTCAGATTTGAATCTGTAAGGTTGTCGTGTGGTCAACCACACACCAACAGACATGTTGTGGTTGGGAACGCCATTCACTAAATATGTATGTTTCTCTTTTGTCAAATCATTCTTTATTTAAATTACTCATAAATTATCCTCACCTCTTTTTTTCTGACACTTTATTGATCACTTTCTATTATTTTCCAATAATGGAGCACTTTCTTCTGTTTCACTTTTATTGATGAGAAGAATTAATTTGCCATTAGTTTAACTCCGTCTATTATTTCTCTTTACTGATCACCCTCTCTTAGTTCCTATTAATTTATCTCTCTTTTTGATCTCCTATTGATCATCTTGTAGTATAAGCCATGCGTTGATATCCTTCTAGTTATTTCCTTTTCATTTATAATACAATGTTAATTCCCATTCATTAATTCCCACTTTGTTTCTCATCGTAATCCAAGTTATAACGTTGAATAAAATATATCTTTGTCTAAGAAATGTCCCTGACCAAGTTAAGCCATTGTCTAAGTCACATAAGTAGTTTGTTTCCCATTATCTTATCAAGAATAACAAAGTAAGAGTATTATTTTTTATATGTATTTATTTATTTATTTATGTATTTATTAACATATAAAACATGAACATTCTTCACTAAATAACATATATATTTGCTTCGTGGAACTGAGGAGAACAATACCTCTAAGGACACTGGCCAGTTCGGGGTTACTTTCCGATGGTCCCGTACCCACCATAGCCAGGACCTACACCGCCGTATCCACCACCAACTGCTCCGTATCCACCACCAATTCCAAGTGGACGACCGAGGTTAAATTGAACAACGGATCTCCCACCTCCGTAGCCTCCACCTAGGCCGCCAAATCCGCCTCCATAGGCTGGTCTGAGGCCGCCAAATCCACCTCCGTAGCCTCCCCCGAGGCCGCCAAATCCACCTCCGTAGCCTCCCCCGAGGCCGCCAAATCCACCTCCGTAGCCTCCTCCGAGGCCGCCAAATCCACCTCCGTAGATGTTTTCCCCGAAGGCAGACACAACCAGAGCCGCAAATCCCACGAAGAACATCTCGTATTTCTGCAGGAATATTTTAAGGTTAATGATAAAATGAATAATATGAGTAAGAAAAGAAATTTCTTTCCAATTTAGTGATAGGTTTAAACCTGTCAACCACGGAAGGGTTATTTATAGCTTCACAATAGCTTACTGACCAATCAGTAAGTATATTAAACATAGTTCAGAACTAAATCAAACCTACGGATAGGTACTTAAACCAGTTAGGTTAAGCAAAACAATGATTTTCCCCCATAGCACGATCCTGCGTCAGTTTCTACTTGATGTCCCTTACGAAGTGAAGGGACTGCGGTCAGTCGCCCAACCTTGCTCTGAATTCTCTCAAGTTCTCTCACTTGTGTCGCGAGTCTGTCGCCTACTTTGTGAACATTAAATATTCCTGCAGCATTAGCAAACAATCAAATATTTTTGATGGAATTGGCTTGTGTTATTAAGTGTTATAGTTCACTTAATTTTCCTACTACACTTAAGGTACAAGAGTGTTTGATCATAGTTCTGTGACATATGTGTCTCAAGGCCCATTGCACTCTCGCTTTATTAGCATGTATTGATGACCCTTAATAATATATAATAATTATATATTATATATATACATATATATATATATATATATATATATATATATATATATATATATATATATATATATATATATATATATATTATATTATTAAATATGACCGAAAAAGTAAGATTAATAATTCTAACACGAATTTTCTCTATCTTTCTTACATTTCTTTTCACTGTTGATGGTAATTCAACAGTGAATTACCATCATTAATACCATAATTAATACCCATTAATGAATTACCATAATTAATACCCATTGAATACCCATTGTTGAAAGTTTGTTTTTCACCTCATCCACCTCACCCAAATGTAGATATAAACCTCGAAGATGTGAAAGCTCTATTCAGTTTCAGTTGTGTGTTTGTAAACTAAAGTCTTTGAAAATGTAATAAGTTTTACGAAACGCGCTCGTGTCGCGTCAGACTAGAAATAAAAATGAATTTTGGAGAATTGATCTTTGAATTACCATCAACAGTGAAAAGAAATGTAAGAAAAATAGAGAAAATTCGTGTTAGAATTATTAATCTTACTTTTTCGGTCATATTTAATAATATATGTCTACAGGAAAGACTGCTACCAATATATATATATATATATATATATATATATATATATATATATATATATATATATATATATATATATATATATATAATATATATATAAAATCAAAAAAAAAAAATAATAGGGGTGGTAAGAGAGGAAAAGATTAAAGTATTCAGTGAGACTCCACAAGGTCTTCCTTGAGCACTATTTATTTTCTTCTTCGAGGATGTGGGTCCCTTTAATTAAACCAGTGGTGGTACCCCTAAAAATATATATATATATATATATATATATATATATATATATATATATATATATATATATATATATATATATATATATATATATATATATATTATTAAATTATGATAATAACTAATATTAGAATTCTAACACAAGAGGTTCACACACAGGATCCTTGCAGCCGAATGGACAGCGCTCTGTGGTCGTTGTTCTAAGGGCCCTGGTTCGATTCCCGGTCGAGGTAGAAACAAATGGGCAGAGATCCTTTCATCTGATGCAACTGAGTGACCGCTTTCCCGGCGTGGTGCATACGGTACGATGATGTGTGTGTGTGTGTGTGTGTGTTAGACAAAATGATCAATAGTAGATATAATCGAGGAAAAAATATATCGGGAGTCAGTACATTAGCAAACCGACGGTTAGAATGGCGGGGTCCAAGAGCTTGGGGCCAGATTCACGAGAGCACTTACGCAAGCACTTACGAACCTGTACATCTTTTCTAAATCTTTGGCGGCTTTGTTTACAATTATTAAACAGTTAATGAGCTCCGAAGCACCAGGCGGCTGTTTATAACAATAACAACAGTTGATTGAGAAGTTTTCATGCTTGTAAACTGTTTAATAATTGGAAACAAAGCCGCGAAAGATTTAGAAAAGATGTACAAGTTCGTAAGTGCTTGCGTAAGTGCTTTCGTGAATCTGGCCCCTGGTCCGCAGGCAGAGATAGTAAACACACACCTGACTACTCCTACCTCCCCGGACCACCAGTGTGGTAATTACTCTGGAGACAACAGGTGGAGGCCCTCAGGTGCTCACCACACGAGGGACTCTTTATCATGAGTGCGTGTGAAGGCCTCACAGTGTGAGAGTGTTCATCCCTTGTGTTGTGAGTTACCGTGTGTGTTGTGATTGATCCAGGGGTGTTGGTGAGTGACCAGAGGTGTTGGTGAGTGACCAGGGGTGTTGGTGAGTGACCACAGGTGTTGGTGAGTGACCAGGGGTGTTGGTGAGTGACCAGAGGTGTTGGTGAGTGACCAGGGGTGTTGGTGAGTGACCAGAGGTGTTGGTGAGTGACCAGGGGTGTTGGTGAGTGACCAGGGAAGTTTGTGAGTGATCAGGAATGTTTGTGAGTGACCAGGAAAGTTTGTGAGTGATCAGAAATGTTTCTGAGGAATCAGGAAAGTTTGTGAGTGACCAGGAGTGTTTGTGAGTATCCAGGAAAGTTGGTGAATGACCAAGAATGTGTATGAAAGACATGGATTGTTTGTGAGTGACCAGTAAAGTTTGTGAGTGACCAGGAAAGTTTGTGAGTGGCCAGGGAAGTTTGTGAGTTTGTAGGAAAGTTTGTGAGTGTCCAGGAAAGTTGGTGAATAATCAGGAATGTTTGTGAGTGACCTGAAATGTTTGTGAGGTGTCATGAATGTTTGTGGGTGATAAAGAATGTTTGTGAATGACCAGGGAAGTTGGCGAGCGATCAGGAAAGTATTTGAGGGATAAGGAAAGTTTGTGAGTGACCAGGAATTTTTGTGAGTGACCATGAATGTTTATGAGTGACGAGCAGTGCTTTGAGGGGCATTCAATAGTCTGAGGTACCCAGTTGCAATGAGTGTTCTGAGTGGCAGTGAGTTTTGTGAGTTACCAAATTATCTAGAGTGTTGTAAGTGTTGAAAAGTATTATGAATGGTGTGTAGTGTGGTCAGTGACGACTTAATGAGTTGTGAGTGACCAGAATTGCTATAAGTGCACGAAGTGTTTTTAGTTTGAGTTTTATAACTGAACAAGGAAGAATGTAAAGTGATCACAAGTATTTATAAGTGACAACATGTGTTTTAAATAGTCACTCAGGTTGTAAACAACGAAGCCGGTTGTGAATTATTAACCCACCTAGCGAGTAGTTATCCTGGGTGATTAACTTGTGTACCAGTTAGCACTATCCTGCCTCATATACTATCGCAAGCGAGTGACCAATCACTGTGTGAGTTTCAAGAATGCTGGGAGTGATTAGTGCAGAAAAACCACTCGTGTAAGGGACAAGTACTGGTGTCAGTGACCAACCATTGTGGTAGTGAGTGGTATATGCTCTCTCGTCAGCTTCACGGGGGCAACTGCCCCTCAACACACAAACATCTCCCTTATATACCAACGGAAGTCCTGTTGACACTTGATAGAAGCCGAAAGTCTAAAAATACGTTACTTTCCCATTTACCTTCGTTTCGGAGATTTTTGAGGAGAGAGGCAACGTGCACATTACAAAACGAATATTACGTAAAGGCTATTGCGCCAACCTGTTCTAATTACGACTGTGGAAATGTAAAACATTTTAACGCAACCTAAAGGGCATTAACTAAACAAAAACCCAATTTGGACTATAATAATTTGGGGTTCTGAGTTACATTATGCTTCATATATCAACCAATCTGTCTGAAATGATAATATTTATAGTGATGGACCACCAGTAAAACAGCCCATCCTTCTGTTATGGTTGTTCTTATAGGAAGAGTGAGGGCCATAGGACATATACCGACGGACAGCGAAATTAGTAAGTAGAAATCGGTACTATTGAGGTTGTACAAACCGGAAAAAAAATTCTACTTATGTTGCAAAGTCAAGCTAAACTCACATAACTTAACCTTCCTAGGACTAATGCACGTTATCTGAGGTCTAATATAGTACATATGTGTGCTATACTAGGCCTAGAAATATTTCTGTTTTTTTTAGCTTCATGTTTTCGGACTCTATAAAGAGAGTAATACAAAGTTTTATTATCTAATTGCTAAGTACGTCAATATTTGTACTACGGTCCACATACTTATAAAAAGTATTATCTAAACAGGAGGATGGGTTGTGTAAAACTATTTTTTGCGCCATTAATTTTATAATTTCGAAAAAATAAAGCTAAAAGCCACACTTATATATTCCAAGTCCTATTATAATATATACGTATTATGATAGGGAACCACATACTAATGCGTACTATATTAGGCCTAGGATAGGCCTAATATAAGCTTGGAGAGGTTTGGTCTAATGTTTTAAGTTTAAAAAGTTTCCGGTTTGTCCAAACTCGGTAATGTAAAAGTTAACCGCCTGGTGGACCATCACTACATATGGGTACTGTCTGGTGGACCATCACTACATATGGGTACTGCCTAGTGGACCATCACTACATATGGGTACTGTCTGGTGGACCATCACTACATATGGGTACTGTCTGGTGGACCATCACTACATATGGGTACTGTCTGGTGGTCCATCACTACATATGGGTACTGTCTGGTGGACCATCACTACATATGGGTACTGTCTGGTGGTCCATCACTACATATGGGTACTGTCTGGTGGTCCATCACTACATATGGGTACTGTCTGGTGGACCATCACTACATATGGGTACTGCCTGGTGGTCCATCACTACATATGGGTACTGCCTGGTGGTCCATCACTACATATGGGTACTGTCTGGTGGACCATCACTACATATGGGTACTGTCTGGTGGACCATCACTACATATGGGTACTGCCTGGTGGACCATCACTACATATGGGTACTGTCTGGCGGTCCATCACTACATATGGGTACTGTCTGGCGGTCCATCACTACATATGGGTACTGTCTGGCGGTCCATCATTAAATATGGGTACTGCCTGGTGGACCATCACTACATATGGGTACTGTCTGGTGGACCATCACTACATATGGGTACTGTCTGGCGGTCCATCACTACATATGGGTACCGTCTGGTGGACCATCACTACATATGGGTACTGTCTGGTGGTCCATCACTACATATGGGTACTGTCTGGGGTCCATCACTACATATGGGTACTGTCTGGTGGACCATCACACTACATATGGGTACTGTCTGGTGGACCATCACTACATATGGGTACTGTCTGGTGGACCATCACTACATATGGGTACTGTCTGGCGGTCCATCATGGGTACTGTCTGGTGGTCCATCACTACATATGGGTACTGTCTGGCGGTCCATCATTAAATATGGGTACTGTCTGGGGTCCATCACTACATATGGGTACTGCCTGGTGGTCCATCATTACATATGGGTACTGTCTGGTGGTCCATCACTACATATGGGTACTGTCTGGTGGTCCATCACTACATATGGGTACTGCCTGGTGGTCCATCACTACATATGGGTACTGTCTGGTGGTCCATCTCTACATATGGGTACTGTCTGGTGGTCCATCTCTACATATGGGTACTGCCTGGTGGTCCATCATTACATATGGGTACTGTCTGGTGGTCCATCACTACATATGGTTACTGTCTGGTGGTCCATCTCTACATATGGGTACTGCCTGGTGGTCCATCATTACATATGGGTACTGTCTGGTGGTCCATCACTACATATGGGTACTGTCTGGTGGTCCATCACTACATATGGGTACTGTCTGGTGGTCCATCACTACATATGGGTACTGTCTGGTGGTCCATCACTACATATGGGTACTGTCTGGTGGTCCATCACTACATATGGGTACTGTCTGGTGGTCCATCACTACATATGGGTACTGTCTGGTGGTCCATCATTAAATATGGGTACTGTCTGGTGGTCCATCACTACATATGGGTACTGTCTGGCGGTCCATCACTACATATGGGTACTGTCTGGTGGTCCATCACTACATATGGGTACTGTCTGGCGGTCCATCACTACATATGGGTACTGCCTGGTGGTCCATCACTACATATGGGTACTGTCTGGTGGTCCATCACTACATATGGGTACTGCCTGGTGGACCATCACTACATAAGGGGTACTGCCTGGTGGTCCATCATTACATATGGGTACTGTCTGGCGGTCCATCACTACATATGGGTACTGTCTGGCGGTCCATCACTACATATGGGTACTGTCTGGTGGTCCATCACTACATATGGGTACTGTCTGGCGGTCCATCACTACTTATGGGTACTGTCTGGCGGTCCATCACTACATATGGGTACTGTCTGGCGGTCCATCACTACATATGGGTACTGTCTGGCGGTCCATCACTACATATGGGTACTGTCTGGCGGTCCATCACTACTTATGGGTACTGTCTGGTGGTCCATCACTACACATAGGAACTTTTTTCCTTTCATTTCTTTTCACCTAAAGGATCTGTTCACCTAGCAGTAAGAAGGTACTCAGGAGTTAGTCAGCATGTTGTGGGGTTACATCCTGGGCGGGGTCAGTAATTCGACCTTGGATGGCAAGTCCTTGGGGGGCAAGACCTTAGATGGCAAGTCCTTGGGGGGCAAGGCCTTGGATGGCAAGTCCTTGGGGGGCAAGGCCTTGGATGGCAAGTCCTTGGGGGGCAAGGCCTTGGATGGCAAGGTCTTGGGGGGCAAGGCCTTGGGGGGCAAGACCTTGGATGGCAAGGTCTTGGGGGGCAAGGTCTTGGGGGGCAAGACCTTGGATGGCAAGGTCTTGGGGGGCAAGACCTTGGATGGCAAGGCCTTGGATGGCAAGGTCTTGGGGGGCAAGACCTTGCATGGCAAGGTCTTGGGGGGCAAGGCCTTGGATGGCAAGGTCTTGGGGGGCAAGGCCTTGGGGGGCAAGGTCTTGGGGGGCAAGACCTTGGATGGCAAGGTCTTGGGGGGCAAGGCCTTGGATGGCAAGGTCTTGGGGGGCAAGGCCTTGGATGGCAAGGTCTTGGGGGGCAAGGCCTTGGATGGCAAGGTCTTGGGGGGCAAGGCCTTGGATGGCAAGGTCTTGGGGGGCAAGGCCTTGGATGGCAAGGTCTTGGGGGGCAAGGCCTTGGATGGCAAGGTCTTGGGGGGCAAGGCCTTGGATGGCAAGGTCTTGGGGGGCAAGGCCTTGGGGGGCAAGGCCTTGGATGGCAAGGTCTTGGGGGGCAAGGCCTTGGATGGCAAGGTCTTGGGGGGCAAGGCCTTGGATGGCAAGTCCTTGGGGGCAAGGCCTTGGATGGCAAGGTCTTGGGGGGCAAGGCCTTGGAGGGCAAGGTCTTGGGGGGCAAGACCTCTGATGGCAAGGTCTTGGGGGGCAAGGCCTTGGATGGCAAGGTCTTGGGGGGCAAGGTTTTGGGGGCAAGCCTTGGATGGCAAGGTCTTGGGGGGCAAGGCCTTGGATGGCAAGTCCTTGGGGGGCAAGGCCTTGGATGGCAAGGTCTTGGGGGGCAAGGCCTTGGATGGCAAGGTCTTGGGGGGCAAAGCCTTGGATGGCAAGGTCTTGGGGGGCAAGGCCTTGGATGGCAAGGTCTTGGGGGGCAAGGTTTTGGATGGCAAGGTCTTGGGGGGCAAGGCCTTGGATGGCAAGTCCTTGGGGGGCAAGGCCTTGGATGGCAAGGTCTTGGGGGCAAGACCTTGGATGGCAAGGTCTTGGGGGCAAGACCTTGGATGGCAAGTCCTTGGGGGGCAAGGCCTTGGATGGCAAGGTCTTGGGGGCAAGACCTTGGATGGCAAGGTCTTGGGGGCAAGACCTTGGATGGCAAGGTCTTGGGGGGCAAGGCCTTGAATGGCAAGGTCTTGGGGGGCAAGGCCTTGGATGGCAAGGTCTTGGGGGGCAAGGCCTTGGATGGCAAGTCTTGGGGGGCAAGACCTTGGATGGCAAGGTCTTGGGGGCAAGGCCTTGAATGGCAAGGTCTTGGGGGCAAGACCTTGGATGGCAAGGTCTTGGGGGGCAAGGCCTTGAATGGCAAGGTCTTGGGGGCAAGACCTTGGATGGCAAGGTCTTGGGGGGCAAGGCCTTGAATGGCAAGGTCTTGGGGGGCAAGACCATCTGCTAGCAAACTGACAGCTTCTCCTGCCATAGCTTCTAGTAATTAAGCCTCACTAGATTTCCCTGGAACGCGACCAGTTATTCGGTTACAGCCAGGTCCCAGTTACAGCCAGGTCCCAGTTACAGCCAGGTCCCAGTTACAGCCAGGTCCCAGTTACAGCCAGGTCCCAGTTACAGCCAGGTCCCAGTTACAGCCAGGTCCCAGTTACAGCCAGGTCCCAGTTACAGCCAGGTCCCAGTTACAGCTGGGTGAACAGACGGGAACTGTTATCCCTGGAAACACAAACCGAAACTGTCTCTATTTTCCGCTTGTTACAACTTGTAATAAAGTTGTTACATCTTGGTTTAACGTGT